TGAGACCCCCCCCCCCCCCCCCCCCTCCCCCTATCCCACCCCCTCCGCCGCTGCCGACAGGACGTCCGAGAGCTTACGCCAGAGTTCTTCAACCTCCCGGAGTTCTTGGTAAACTCGAACGAGTTCGACTTTGGGTTCACGCAGAAGGGCCAGGGGGTGCACGACGTCGTGCTCCCTCCGTGGGCGAAGGGCGACCCCGCCGAGTTCATCAGGCTGCACCGCAAGGCGCTCGAGTCGCCGCACGTCAGCAAGAACCTGCACTCGTGAGTGTGTGCGCTGCTGCACTTCTTGCTTTGCTTTTCGATGATAGCGTCGGATCGGTGCGGCGGGCAGTCGTCGCCTTCGGGTTTTGTGTATTAAGCAAACATTTTGGATCTAGCATGCAATCGGAGAAGTTGGGTTAGGGTTGGGGTTGGGGAATAGGGTCTGCGTACCCCCTCCGTTGTACGCGAAACCGGCACTCACTTACCGAACGTCGTGACGTTCAGATGCAACGATGCGACCGCGATGCCATACGCCATGTCCTCTTGCGTCTCCCCCCGGGAGGCAAGCCACATACCACCCGAAGGGGAGTCTTGTACAAGTATCTATACTTGTGTACTGCTTGTCTAGAGGAAAAATCGAGAAAAAAAATATTTCTCACGGTATTTTTTGTTTGTTTGTAACACGCACCCTCCTCTTGCGCGTCTTGTGTGTGTAGGTGGATCGGGTTGATCTTCGGCTGCAAGCAGCGTGGGCCGGAGGCCGTGGAAGCCCAGAATGTGTTTGTCCATTTGACCTACGAAGGAGAGGTCGACATCGACTCCATACAGGTGCGTGCGTGTGTGGTCAACGACTCCACGCGTGGCGTAAGAAGGTGCGACCACCGGGCTGGTCGTGCCGTTTAAACTGGTCTGAGAGTGAGTGCGCCCCGCAGAGTACCAAATGTGCGATGATGATGACAGAAGTTGGAGAGGAAGAGAACGGTACCACTTCCGCTCTAGGTTTCTTCGTGTTGTTTGCAGCGCCCTTCGTCCACCGTTTTGGTTTTGGTTTCTGTAATGTGACGAGGAATGTCCGTGGTACGAAGAGGAGAGGGGAGTGTACATGACTGAGCTGGGAAAAATACAAGGGACGTACGGGGAGATGTTTGAGGCATGGAATAGAGAGGAGAGGACGGTAGCTGTACTGGGGAGCAGGAAGTGGTTTGAAAAGGCGGGAAGGGATATCGTTAGGATAGACAGACTAGGGAAGACATTTTTGAGCCACCTTTGGCAAAGTAGGAAGGAACGATTGGCCATCGGTGGTCGGTCCTGTGGGAACAATGCTCCGTCCTCTCGAGGACGCGTGGTAAATGGTCTAACGGCTAAGGCATGCAAAACATAAGAGTACGCGCCCCCCACCCCCCCGCAGGACCCCCTCCTGCGAGACGCGGCGCTGGCCCAGATCCACAACTTCGGCCAGACGCCCTCGCTAGTCCTCAAGAAGGCCCACCCGCAGCGAGAACTTCCCCCCGTAGTGCGCATCTCGGGCGCCGACGGCTCCCGCACGGCCGACCCCGCCGCGGTAGAGTGGCACACGACGCTGACGCCGCCCCTGTGCATCGTGGGCGCCCCGGACGCTGTCGCCCTTCGACCCGTGGCGCTCTCGAATATCGGTAGCTCGTGGCAGTGCAACGTCGGTGGGGCCGTGGGGGTGGCAGGCGGGGCGGGCGTCGGGGACGCGCGCATCATCCGGGACAAGGTGAGGGGGGAGGGGGTGTACTCATAGCCGGGCATGCCGTAGTCGTTGGACCGTTGACCTCGCATCCCTACAACGCCGGAACGGAGCACCAGGGGGGGGAGGGGGGCAATTTTTGTTTGTTTGAAATCGGGTGACGTGGTGTGTGTGTGTTTGCTGTTTTGGGTTTGTTATATGTTATATAGGAGTTGGGTGGCTTGGCTGCTGGGTGGATTATGTTTCGATGTTTGTTGTTTTTGTTGGGACTGTTTTTGACCGGGGGTGCGGTGAGTTGGTTTTGCCGGTGTTTGGAGGCGCCAAGAAACCGTTCTCGCTGCTCGTCCTAGTCACGTCGATTGAACCTTTGATTGAACCCATGAAGCCCACACAAGCATACATCCGCACACACTCCTCAGGCCAACCGCCTCCCGTTTTACCATGACCCGAAAGCAACATCCGGGCGTTCACGCATGCCTCAACCCTGCTGTATGCACCAACTCTTGCTGTGTTCTCATTCCCTTCTTTGTTCCCAGCCTTCCGCAAACTCCTCCTTCGCCTCCCCTTCCCTGCCTTACACAAACTCCTGCTCCCTTCCTTTTCCCCCGCCTTCCTCAAACTCCTCCTTCCCTTCCTTTTCCCCCGCCTTCCTCAAACTCCTCCTTCCCTTCCTTTTTGCTCGCCTTCCTCAAGCTCCTCCTTCCCTTCCTTTTCCCCAGCCGTACACAAACTCCTCCCTGTTGCCCTACCTTACACAGAAAAATGGGAAATAGACACAAGTGGGTATACCCACCCCTTTCTCGGACAAAAGTGGGTACTCGAAAATCCAGCGTGCGCGCACTCCATAGGCGACCCCCAAACGACTCAAAACCCCATTCTGACACCTGGGCGACACAGCCAGGGACCATACACAGCATGGGCATCGATTTTTCCCCACTTTTAGGCACACCTTTGGCCCTAATACCGCCGACGCGCGAAAGGCCTCACCAGAGTGCCCACTTATGTCCGACATCGCGGTGGGTATACCCACCGGCGTCAACTAATTTTTTCATCTACCCACTTGTGTCTGTATTTTGACCCACTTTTGTCCAAATTGTACCCACTTTTGTCCACTTACGGACGGCGGAAATCGAGCGGAAATCGACCTCCACGTCACCGCACGGCAGAACATCGAATAGACTCGGAACGTCTCAGAACCTCCCAAAACCATATCCATGGCATCTTTCCTATCCATGGCTGCCGACTGCGGACCGACCACGGAGGAACATGTCAGAAACATGTCAGACCCCTTCGGTACCGGCACGGGAAGATACCAGGCACGGGAAGATACCCGCGGCAAGCCCGGCAAGCAGCGCACTAACGGCACGCCACACATAAATGCGTGACACACAACGGACAACACAACCAACGGCGTCGCGCGTACAGAACAAAAAGACGCGCAAACAGCAACAACACACACATACACAAAAACACTAACCACCACGACAAGTGCACACCGACTCGTCACGGCAGCAGTCGGCTTGCCGCGGGTATCTTCCCGTGCCTGGTATCTTCCCGTGCCGGTACCGAAGGGGTCTGGCATGTTTCTGACATGTTCCTCCGTGGTCGGTCCGCAGTCGGCAGCCATGGATAGGAAAGATGCCATGGATATGGTTTTGGGAGGTTCTGAGACGTTCCGAGTCTATTCGATGTTCTGCCATGCGGTGACGTGGAGGTCGATTTCCGCTCGATTTCCGCCGTCCGTAAGTGGACAAAAGTGGGTACAATTTGGACAAAAGTGGGTCAAAATACAGACACAAGTGGGTACATGAAAAAAATAGTTGACGCCGGTGGGTATACCCACCGCGATGTCGGACATAAGTGGGCACTCTGGTGAGGCCTTTCGCGCGTCGGCGGTATTAGGGCCAAAGGTGTGCCTAAAAGTGGGAAAAAATCGATGCCCATGCTGTGTATGGTCCCTGGCTGTGTCGCCCAGGTGTCAGAATGGGGTTTTGAGTCGTTTGGGGGTCGCCTATGGAGTGCGCGCACGCTGGATTTTCGAGTACCCACTTTTGTCCGAGAAAGGGGTGGGTATACCCACTTGTGTCTATTTCCCCAGAAAAATCCTCCTTCTCCCCCCGCCTTACACACAAAACTCCTGCTTTTGCCCCGCCTTACACAAGACTCCTCCTTTTCTCCCGCCTTTTACACAAACTCCTCCTTTTGCCCCGCCTTACACACGAAACTCCTCATTTTGCCCCGCCTTACACGCAAATTCCTCATTTTGCCCCGCCTTATTTGCGCAAAGTGTTCCTCCCTCCCTTCCTCATGCGCCGCCTTACACAGAACTCCTCCTTCTGCCCCGCCTTATACAATACTCCTTTTTGCCCCTCCTCCTTCCGTTCCTTTTGCCCCACCTTACACACGAAACTCCTCCCTTTTTCCCCCGCCGCCTCATCCTCCCGAAGATCGCCGGCGTCGGTGTCGGCGCGATCATGCTCCCCAAGTCCCCGGACAAGTACCTGCGCTTCGGCGGCCCCAGCCGCGGCGTGTCTTTCTTCCAGACCGCCGGAGGCGGCACCGCCTCCTCTTCCAAGGCCACGCCGGACCGGCTGCTGTCCTCGCACGAGTCGCTGCACCTCACAGCGGTAACGGCCGCGGCTTGCTCGGTGGACGGGAGCCTGCTGCTGACGGGGGCGCTGGACGGGACGTGCCGGCTGTGGAGCGTGGTCACGCTGCAGAGCCGGTCTTCGGGGCTGGGACAGGTATTGGACTGGAAGCGGTGTTGTTGCTGTTGGCGGGGCTGGGCCGGGTATTTGACTGCTGCTGCTTACGACGTTGTTGTTGTTGTTGTTGTTGCTGATGTTGCTGATGTTGCAGGTCGTCGGGGCTGAGACAGGTATTTTGACTGCTTTTTACGACAGTGTTGCTGTTGCTGTTGTTGGCAGATCGTCGGGATCGTCGGGGCTGAGACAGGGATTTGGATGCTTTTTATGGCATTGTTGTTGTTGCTGTTGGCAGATCGTCGGGACTGAGACAGGTATTGACTGCTGCTGTTTACGGCATTGTTGTTGTTGTTGGTGCTGTTGGCAGATCGTCGGGACTGAGACAGGTATTACGGCACTGGTGTTGCTGATGTTGCGGGTCGTCGGGGCTGGGACAGGTACTTCGCTGCTGCTTCTGTTGCGGGCTTTGTGGGGCGTGCCGCGAAGGCGGTCTCCATCCCCTCTGTGACACCAAGCAACCCTCGTCCTTTTTCCCGTACCATGTAACAACGAAAGGTGTCGAGGATGCTGGATCTGGCGGCCTCTCTGGGTCGGCACGCGGGCCCTGTGACTTGCGCCACCGTGTGCATGGGTAGCGGGAGCGCGGTAACGGGAGGCGCGGATGGAAAGGTGCTGGTTTGGGACATCAGGAGAAAGGTGGGCAATCGTCCGAATGAACCGATCGTGATTGCTTGCGTGAAGTTCATTTAGCACGAGTCTATTTTAAGGTTAAGGATAGGTTGTCACCGTCATCCCCGGCTGTTAACCTAAGTGAAGGGGGTAATGGGGGTCAAGGTTGAACGGTGACGACAACGTTTAGCCACAGGATGCGGTGACGAAATGGCATGTCCGTAACGATGCCGAAGATGGCAGCTATATCGTCTGCGATGGCAGCTGAAAATACTCGTGTGGGCACCGCATACGACACAAGATAACACACCCCATGGGCCGATTTTCAAAGATCGATTTATCAACAACAGAAAGAATCGCAGCGCCGAAAACTGCGGCGTTGAAGCTGTCTCTTGGAGAGCTCTCCGAAAACGTATCGTTTCTTTTTTTGATCCTGTTCGTCGTGGAGTAATGGAGCTTTGAAAACCAGTCTAGGGGGGGTGTTATCTTGTGTCATGTCGTATACGGTGGCTTATCCTGTTTCCAGACATTGTTGTCTGGCCGGTGTAGTACCGGGTACATGACTGACTCTGTCCGGGATGCTGTGGTAGGGTAAAGCGACGTGCTGTCGAGCACCCCTCACTCCCCCCTCAGCACTTGAGATCATGTCAAGGTGGTCGTGTGTTTACAGGTGATGCACTATCTTGGTAATCTTCCCCTCTCTCGGCCTATCCGCACGCGCACGTACCTAACTAAACCCATTTGTTTTTTTTTGACGGCCTTGATTGCGCGTGTGCTCAGAACTTTGTGCGCGAGCTCCCGGGCCACCGGAGCGGGATTTCCTCGGTGGAGATCAACAAGACGAACGGCAACGTCGTGACTCTTTCGGGGTCGGAGCTGAGAGTGTGGAACGTCAACGGGCGCCTCCTGGCGTCGTGCTCCGTGACGGCGCTGAGGCGGGGGGCCCCGCCGACGTGTGCCGTGTCGACGAATTGCCCGGACTGGCAGGTAAAAAAAAAAAGATACTCCTATAAAGTTGTCGGCAGGTGCAGCAACACTTCCACAAATAAAAACAGCAATGTCGTCAGCAGGTGCAACACACACACAAAACACAGAAAGAAATGTTGTCAGTATGCGTAACTGAGGCTACTGTAGTCAAAAGTCTAGAACTGCCAGGTGCAAAAAAATAAACAACTGTTGTCAGCATGCGTGACTAGCCTGCTGTAGTCGAAGGCTAGAAGTGCCTTGTTTCTTGGGCGCGTGCAGTGTGCATGCATTGCCGGGCCGCTCATCAATAAGAAACATGTGCGCAAGAAATCGATCGGAGAATTATGCAACAAAAAGTGCCGTAGTTAAATGCACCCCCGACACGTATTTGATACCCACTGAAATACTCCGACTGAGATTTGAAGTTGGTATCCATACAGCAGTCTTGATTAAGCACCTGGAGCGTTGGACGTTTTTTCGGGGTGGCATCTTGTAGGCGGCCGGTCGGAAATGTCTAGGAAGCGTGCGGACAGACAAGACTGACGGTCAGGCAGAACACCGAAAACGCGTAGCCTCAAGTTACGTCGCTTATTTCTCCCTTCATGTTAGTTGAACGAGACGTCAAACCACTCCACTATGGTCTGATCCGCCATTGCGAGTGGTAGTTTTTTTGAATGCTCGTTGTTATTTGATTTGTCGAAATGTGAACGCTTTTCGGGTAGTTGGGGGCTGTGACAACGCAGGGCGTCCGCTACGGACATTAAAGGGTACTTTACTGAGCAGAGAACGGAACGGTTTTGTCTCGTGAGGAGAGCAACAACAGCAGCAACAACAACAACAACAACAACCACAAACATTGCAAGATGGCTCAAGACAAACACCCCCCTGTCCCCTTACGGGGGCTTTTTTTTTTTTTTTTTCCTTGCCTCCCTAGGAAATTTTTTGACCGAAGGACGGGGTGGTGGGGGCCCCCGGCCACGACAAGGGGGACGTTTTCCTGTGGGCCATGGAGTGGGGGGAGGGGGGCAGGGATTTTCGGGGCACGAAATCCAGTTGCCGTTTTGACGGGGCTCACGGAGATACCAGGGACACGAGAGCCGGGGGGGGGGGGGGGGGCGTGCGGCCCCTAAAGTTCCAGGGAGTGTTGAGGGGTGCCCACCAGAAGGGCATCACTTTTGTGGGGGTGTGCAGGGGAGGGAGGGAGATGTTCGCCGGGGATTCATCGGGAGAGATTTCGCGCTGGCAGTGCATCCGGCTCGACCAGTTTTCTTTGGGGGAGCTGAACCAGCTGGTTTAGGCCTGGGCTGCTGTTGTTGCCCCCCCCCCCCGGGTTTCGGGGCGGTGGTGTTTTTAGCACGCGACCGTCTTACACAAGCCAGGGTTGAGAGATGATGTTGTTTGTGTGCATGTTAACACAGCGGGCCAGCTAAGAGTGTGTGGTAGGCCTGTGTCCCGTGAGTGTCACGCAGAAGACCCCGCCAAGAATTTGTGGTAGGCCTGTTTTCCGTCAGTGTAGCCAAGCGGCGGTGTTTGTGTAGTGTCAGGGACGAGTTGGCAGCGACTTGTGGTCTGGTCTTGATTGTTTGGCCGTCGTGAATTAATTTTGGCTCTGGTGTCCGATACGGCCGACAGCCGACAGAGAGAGAGAGAGATATAGCGAGTGCCGCAATTTGATTGTGGCCTGGTCTGAATTGTTTTGCCGTCGTGAATTTTGGCTCTGGTGTCCGATACAGCGGGCATCCTACAGAGAGATATATCGCGAGCGCCGCAAATGACTGTGGTCTGATCTGAATTGTTTGGTCGTATGCGGTGTCCGATGCAGCCCACAGCCTACAGAGAAATGCCGCGAGCATGGATGATGTTGCTATAACACGAGCGTTCTCCAGCCATCCAGGCGAAGTCTGTCTCTCCGCGGAAATCACGACGTCGTCAAGTTTGAAGTGCCCGCGGTTGATTGTGGTCTGGTCTTAATATTTTGTCGCTATTTTGGCTCCTGGGTCCGGTACTGCTGCCGACAGCCTACAAGAGAAAAATCGCGAGCGTGGTGAGGTTTTTGTAGGGAGATACGGCACAGGTGTTTGCCTCGGCGGTACTTGGGGGCTAAGCAAGGGGTGGTTCTGCTTTATGGCGACGGTGCACCACCGTGTAAACGAGCGATAGAGTAAGTGGGTAGGGTAAAGAGAGTGCCAGTATTTTGTTGTGATATATGTAGTGCTTTTAGAACTGTCGTGTTACTCTTTTGTCTGTTTTTTTTTTTTTCTGGGAGAAATATTGTCTCCAAGGGATGTCGATGGAGGTATTATATGAAGGTAACCGCGAGGGCTGTCGAAGAGAAGTTCGCCCCAGTCAAGCGTTTTTGTTGTCGAGTATGTCGGCGGATAGTTGTGTTTCTGTTGCACGCAAGCGAGAAGAGGCCTTTTGTTTTCTTCGACACCAAGGAGAGAAGGTGTAGAAGGCAAACCAAGCCGGATGGGGGAGGATGGACTCTTGGTTCTCGCTTTGTTCCGTTTTCGCCTTTCGATTTTTGGCGTGAGAGTGGCTAATCCACTCGCCTCGCACCCCAAGCCTCATCGGTATTCTGACTCGAGGTACACGTGTGTTGCTCTATGGCAAGTGTTTGCCACCAGGGCCCGCACACATTTAGCACACGTGGCTTGGTGAGCGCTCGCCGAGTGTCTGGCTCTCAAACACTTGTGCATCTTCACTTCCGGCGTTTAGCTGTTTGGAAATCGGGACTTGGATTGGGTTTGGCTGGCTTTCGTAAGGGAGTGTGAAACGACGGAAATCGTCGTTCGTTCCGATTGGGTTTGTTTGCAGACCCCGGCCGGCCTGTTTTGCTCTCAAGAAACGGCTGGCTTTGTTTTTCGGGGCGTTCGTATTTTTTGTCTCTGTCCTGTCTTGTCTCGTCACGTAAAGGGATGTGAAGTAGTATTTGCTGCGTTGATTGGTGTGTGAGAGGTGGGTAGAGCTGGTCGTGTGAAGTGGGGAATTTGACGCGAGGTTCGGTTTTTAAAGCCTGTTGAGCGTAATTTCGATCCATGTCCAATTTGCGCGTCGGCATGCACTCGGGAACACCCCCTCTCGTCTTGTCTTTGCTGTGTTTCTTCAAATCGCATTTCGCCCGCGTTATGAGCCAGAAAAACGACGTCAGTCCCAGCGCTTTTGTGCTCGTGTGCGTGTGTTTCTATGTTTGGCATCGACCGCGCTAACCGGCTGAACCAGCGAAAGACGATCGGTCTTCTAGCGGGATAAAATCATTGCGAACACGGTTGATCATCATCGGGGTATTTTGCGTGCGTGTGTTTGCATGCAGGCGAGACGCACACCGACCCCCCTCTGTATGGGCCTCTTCCATGACTTAAGAATGTGTAGATTCCCTTTACAAAGGGCGAAATCTCCCCACCGCCTTTTGTCGAGGATAATTAGGACTCCCGTTTCTCGCAACAGCGTAGAAGAACATGCATATGCACAGAAGGCCGCACAGCAGCGGTGACAACCCTCCCTCTTAGCCTCGTCGCCACACCTCGCTCCACTTCGGCCGCGTCATCATCTCGTTGCTCTTCTTCGACAAGTTGGCTAGCGTTCTGGCTTGTTGCTGGCTGGCGGTCGATGAAGGGATTCTATAGGGATCGTCTGCTGTTGGATGCGTGCAAAAAATCGCGTCCGCAACGTATCCCGTTGCGTATCATCCCTTCCAGCGTTTGCTGGACACAAGGTCTCGTTCGTCAGAGCCGGGTGACGATATCAATCGTAGCGTCGCCTTTATTTTGCGCCCTCGCTCTCTTGTTCCGCATGCGAGGGCGTCATGCGGTGAGGACAATTCCCCTCCCAAACTGCAGACCGCACAACAGGTATAGGTCTCAACCTAGTTTCATGGAAAGAAGAAAGTACAGCTACCAGACCACTGGCCGAGGTGGCCTGGTTTTCCTGGTCCTGCCAAATTGAAAGTTTTCGTGGGACGGTCCTTGCGAAGCCGCTGGCAACATGAGGAACAGGGCTTCGGTTGAGGCCGGGGCTAATCCCGCGTTAATGCTATGTTGCATCGATCATTTACACCAGCAACAAAGACGTCCAACTGCAGGCACGCTTTCAAGCGAAGAACAACCACCTGCGCTTTCACTGCCAAAACACGGTATCTCCGAGCATCCAGAGATGCACACGAAACTGTTCTTTTTCACGTTGCAGGCAATAAATACACTGAAAGAGTGTACCAGTAGTGCTCTACGTACACCGAAAAGTGTAGTACACGTCTCACCGCGAAATATGGGGGGACTATCGCCATAATATATAGGACGAAAAAAAAAAAACACACACACAGGCCTTTGGTTATAGATATTGATGTGGCCAAGAGTATTCCAAAACTGGGATCGCGGGGGAAGTCTCCATCAGACCTACCCGGTGTTCGAACACGGGGACCCCGCAGAACAGCAGCCAGCAGTAGAGGTCACCGAAACGAAGGTTATCTACAATTTTGGAGAACGAAAGAATCGCGCGACACGATTTTTTCTGATTTATTTCAACTTGTTCAAGACCGGGTCGGCGGCGGCCGGGAGGCGGGAGCCTTCGCGAGGAGCACCACGCCGGTCCGTTCGTCGACCGCGAATCTCTGCTTGTCTTTCCCCCCGACCAGCCACGCCCTGAAAGTCGGCGTGGACAGCATCGCCTCCCGTCGCACGCGGTAGGCACGACTGGCCTGCTTCAGCCGCCAATACGAGCGTCCTCCGCTTTCTGGCCCCTCGCTCCCTGATGCGCCTTCCCCTGCTTGTACCGTTTCCGTCTCCTCTCCTGTACCTTCGATGTCGCTGTAGTGGTGGTCACACATGGGTGCTCTTTGAGGGAGGTACGCCCGTGCGACGAGATTGGCGGCCTCGAGTAACCGTGCGCGGCACAAGCGGGATCTGTCAAAAATGTAAGACGAGAGGAGCAACGGAGAAGATGGTCGAAGATAGTTCGGGGATAGCTAGTTGACAGAGATCTAGCAAGAACAAGGTCAACACCCATGCCTCATGACACCCACCCACAGACAGGCGTGTTGTGTTTGCAAACAGAGGTTTTACGGCGGGAGTATCAAGAACAGCAACAACAAAAAACAACCATGCACTCGCAATCACCACCACCACCACCACCACCACCACCAACATCAACATCAACATCAACCGCAGCAGCGCATACCTGGTCCGTAGCGTCAGCACGCCCTTTGACACCGCTCCCTGCATCCTTCCCGTGGCGGATAAGGTCACCTCTGCCTGGATCCTAGCTGTGTCTCCCCCGCCGGGCCCGGTCCCTCTCCCTGTACCTAGCCCTTCGATCCAGTTGAGGGAGGTTCCGCTCGGCACTACCTTCTTCGGCTTGCGATCACGACGGGATCGCTTGCCGATGATGCTGTTGTCCGACCTGGTTCCCTGGCTGGTCTCACGACCGCTCCTGTCGTTGTCCCCCGGCATGCGTTGTCTAGCAGAACCGGCAGCGATGGAGGCATCAGCGATCGACGGGGATGCTTTAACCGATGATACCGTTGCTTTCGCGGGGGTAATAGAGCCGGGTGAACCAACGCCGCTTGTTGAAGAACATGACCCTTCGTCGTCGAACACTCGCTGCTCCGACTGTGTAGCGTACCGACCGGTGCGGGTGCGCGGGTTACGGTTACCGAGATTTCATGCGGGAAAAAGATATACCACCCTGCTGCAGGCAATGACATCAGACAGGGGCAAACTGGAGAGAGAGAGCACTTGCTCTGACATAAATCGCTATTGGCGTGTCGATCTACCGTTCCATCATATAAGCCTCCCCAGAAACACGTCTGGAGCCGAACAGGCAATCAATGTGCTGTGTGTTGTTCAGTTGCACGGTGTACAACGCAACCCAACCGGGAGAGAAAAATATACGCTTCATGCATGATACACACAAACGATTCCCGCAACGATGCGCGGAAAGGCAAGCCTGCCTCACAAAATCCGTTGACTGCCAAAATTCTACGTTGGCGAGACAAGACATTGACTTCGACCCCGGCCCCTGCCTGCCAATGCAGCGAACAGACCTGCGCCTTTGATCTCGCGAACGTGACTTCGGATACGAAGACTGCCATCCTCTCCTCCTCCTCCTCCCGCGGCATCGGTGGGTGAGAAAGATGCTCCTCCCCGCCCACCGTCCCCGTCGTACCGTCGAACGACGAGCGGCGGTTGGCCAACGCCGCCCTGCCGGGAATCGCTCTCGTCAGCGCCGATGCGAGCGGGGCTGGGCCGTCCGTGCGCGGGTCCGCGCTGATGACGATGGAGGAAAGGAAGATCGGCTCCACCCACGAAGCCAACAATCCTCCCTGTCAGATAGATTTTCCGACGAGACAAGAGCGAGTGATTTCCAACCGTTTCAGCATGAAACGCAATGACGTTGGACAGCGTCCGGGTGAGCGCGGGAAATTGAAGAATGGGGGGGATAGCACCATCACCTACTTTTTTCACCTGGCTGGGGGTGGATGGAATTGGCGAGCAAGTGGGAGGTGGGACGTACCGCCAAGAAGAGGATGTTCGCAGCATTGTTCGGAACACTAGGGATGGGCAAAGGGGGGGGAGAGCGTTCGTCGTTGAGGGTTGAGTTATTGGTCGAACCAAGGAACAGGAGTTGGATTGTTGGCATGATACGTTCATCGAGTTTCGTTGCTGGAAAGGATGGGGATTGACGCGAAAAGCAACACCCAGAACAAAGGCACCAACAAGCGCATACAATATTGAAGGGTTTTAATAGGGCAGCATCCATACACTGCGAGTCGCTCACCATGACAAGAAGACAAGAGCAAGCATCTCACGCACCTGCACACCCAGGAAGGCCCACTTCGCCAGCTTGTCGCTGCAGGACATGGACATCGTCCGCCCTTCCTCCGAAATGTTGCTCCGGCTAGACTTGATCCTCAGCGCGCCCACCTGTTGCTCCTGCTCCCGGTCGATGCGCAGCACGAGGTCCGCCGTCGCCGCTTTGCCCCCCTCTTCGTTTCCGTATGCACTGAAGCTGCGGTCTGGAGCCCCTCTTTCTTTCACAGCGGCTATGATCTTGGCTCCGGTAAAGGTCATCGTTTCTGCACCCATGTTTTGTCCTTGTCCTGAGAGTTTTTCGCCAACTCTTACCTCCGGTTCCCGGGGTTTGCAGTCCAACGGGTTCAAGCTCGCCGCGGAGCAGCTCCGTTCTTCATCCAGTGGCAGATCAGGCCGGGGTGATGGCGCGACAGCATCACTTAAGCCAGCAATCGCCACCGCGCAACGAGCTCGTTTGGCATCGCCGCGGTCGGCATCGCCCCGCCCCCGCCTCTCGCCATCGCTCCGACTGCCTGCCAGAGGAGTAGAGCGCGGCGCATCGTCCCAACTGCTGTCGTTGCCAGGATCACCGTCACCACCCCCGCATCTAGCGCTACCCCCGCCGCCAACGTTTGGCGCTTGCCTCTTCTGCTCGTAGATGGAAGCGTCCCCGCAGGGCGCATCGCTGATGTACAAGTGCAGGCGGATGTAAGGCTTTAACCTCCAGGAGATGCAAGCTCCGGCATCTGTAGCTTGTGGGCTCCGCTCCAACAGGAGGATTCTCCCATCGTCCTCTCCAGGTAGGACCCCGCCGTACAGCGGAGGTTGTGGGTGTGCATCCACCGTTGCAGCTGTAGTCGACGATGATGGCGTTGAACGTCCGTCGGACCGGCCGCTGTTACATGGAGTCCCTCCTCCCTTGCGTTCGTCGATCGTGACATCTTGTTGCCGCCCAGCTGCGGATGATACCCGTAGGTGCAGCTCTCTCCAAAGACGCAGCAAAAGCGCACGTCGGGCGAGCACCTACATTGCCCCGCACATGAGCGAGAAAAAGAGAACAGGAAGAGATATACGTATACTCATTTGCGTACGAGAAACCTCGTCCGGCAAAGATCCTGGAGTACATAAACAAGAGAAATGCTGAGCAACGAAGGATGGTAACATTGAACCCGTCGTTGCTTGTAAGAATATGCGCTACGTCACGCAGGCGCTGTACTTCACTTGAGGTTGCTGCTTTGTTCCGAACATGTCCTGTCTCCCACGCAAGCAGTTGCGTTTTGCGTGTCCGCCAACACATTAACGAAAGGGAAATGGAAAAAAGTGGGTACACCCACGCCATTCTCGGACAAAAGTGGGTACTCGAAAATCCGGCGCGTGCGCCCTCCATAGGCGACCCCCAAACGACTCAAAACACCATTCTGACACCTGGGCGACACAGCCAGGGACCATACACAGCACGGGCATCGATTTTTCCCCACTTTCAGGCACACCTTTGGCCCTAATACCGCCGAGGCGCGCAAGGCCTCACCAGAGTGCCCACTTCTGTCCGACATCGCTGTGGGTATACCCAGCGGCGTCAACTAATTTTTTCATGTACCCACTTGTGTCTATAGTTTGACCCACTTTTGTCCAAACTGTACCCACTTTTGTCCACTTACGGACAGCGGAAATCGAGCGGAAATCGACCTCCACGTCACCGCACGGTAGAACATCGACTGGCCTCGGAACGTCTCAGAATCTCCCAACACCGAATCCATGGCATCTCTCCTATCCATGGCTGCCGACTGCGGACCGACCGCGGAGGAACATATCAGAAACATGCCAGACCCCTTCGGTACCGGCACGGGAAGATACCAGGCACGGGAAGATACCCGCCGCAAGTCCGGCAAGCAGCGCACTAACGGCATGCCACAAATAAATGCGTGACACACAACGGACAACAAAACCAACGGGCGCACATACAGGACAAAAAGACGCGCATATAGCAACACAGACACACACACGCGCCACACACACAAAAAAACACCGACCACCACTACGAGTGCACACCGACTCGTGAGGGCAGCAGCAGCAGGTCGAGGCAGTTTACCACCCAACTACTACGTGATGTTAAAGGTATTCATATGCACTACATGTATGTACATCACACCCTGGACATGTACATACGAAGTGCAAATCCGACCCGATATCCCGCGGTCGGTCCGCAGTCAGTAGCGATGGATAGGAGAGATGCCATGGATTCGGTGTTGGGAGATTCTGAGACGTTCCGAGGCCAGTCGATGTTCTACCGTACGGTGACGTGGAGGTCGATTTCCGCTCGATTTCCGCTGTCCGTAAGTGGACAAAAGTGGGTACAATTTGGACAAAAGTGGGTCAAACTATAGACACAAGTGGGTACATGAAAAAATTAGTTGACGCCGCTGGGTATACCCACAGCGATGTGGTCCCTGGCTGTGTCGCCCAGGTGTCAGAATGGGGTTTTGAGTCGTTTGGGGGTCGCCTATGGAGGGCGCGCGCGCCGGATTTTCGAGTACCCACTTTTGTCCGAGAATGGCGTGGGTATACCCACTTTTGTCCATTTCCCTTAACGAAAACCCCCACGCGCGGCAAATGTCGCTTCGCCCTTCGCTGACGAGTAGTTCAACAAGCGCCAAAAGATTGAAAGGGCTCCCTGTCGAGCGAGGTGGCCTACATAGAACCTAGAACGCATTTTGGTGCACGTACAAGCATGATACCAAGCGCTGCTGCTGTGCATGCATACCTCTGCGTGGGAGTCGTGCACGACCGACCCGTCATCGGGAATCTTGTCCCTCCCGACGCACTTATTCCCAGTGGCGAGGCTGATTACTCGCAGACAAGAGCAAGGAGAAGAGTTGGCCCCAGCCACAGCGGTGCAGCACTCTGTCTGGTGGTGTTGGTAACGAGCGTGTGGTCGGGTGGGCGAGGTTGGGAAGGGTTTGAACCTCGGATGGACGTCCATCCCGTACGTTGCAGGCTTGGGTTTGGGCATGGTGGTGACGTACGATCGAGCAGGATAGCAAGGGCGTCCACCGCACCAATCTCAGCCAGCAACAAGTGTCAGATGCGTGAGATGGCATGCGGTCGGGAATACAGCAGCAGTAGGCCGCCAACCACACCAGCAGAGGTCGTCTCGAGGCACTCCACCATAGACTACGTAGACCACGGGATTTTCTCTGCTCGAACGAGGACGTACTGCTGGGGTTGCGCAAAGGTTCAGTGGGCGTGTTTCCTTTTTCTTGGCCCTGAACGCGTTCCCTGTCTGGGCATGCGCTGTTGGGGCTACACACGAAGTGTCTGCAACAGCAGTTGTACTGCTGTCGTGTAGCTCACCCGCGTGTCCTGGGCCACAATGCCAGCCAAAACGGTCCACTCTTTCCCTTGGGGCTTCCCACGAGACTTGAGATTGTCGAACTGCTCAACCACAGCCGAGGCGACGCGATCGCCCAGCAGCATGCTGCAACGACACCGCTGACGATACCAAAGCTCTAAAAGTGGTTGTGTATGTACAACAGCAGAGTATTAGTCTGATGTCTCACACTGCGGCGTGAATTCAGGATGTAAAACTATCCCGAACGGGTACCCCAGAACCTAATGGGGCGACGCAGATGCATAACGTACCAAATCACGTCACCCCGAGGCAAGTCGAGCGAGACGTCGAGACCACCTTCACCCACCTTCGAGACCAATCCCACACTACATCACCACGAGAGACATGGCAGAAAGCAAGAAGGGGTCCTCGCGAAGCCATGGAATACCAAAGGGTGGCGTGGTGACTGGAGCGAAGCAGAATGGTGGGTCTGTGGCAAGACGTTCTTGTCTCTAATGAGATTATTTCCTACAGCTGTAGTACCTTCGGAGATGAAGTTCGACGTACGACGCACGTGTAGCAGTGTTGCAGGTCGTGACAAATGGCCTCACGAGAGAGAGGGCATGCTGCTGTGTGTGCGCCCTCATTCTCCTTGTACGTGGTATAAACGACATCAATTTCAACACCGCTTGAATTCGCTCAAACGAAGGCTGATAGTCAGTCGCGCCAGAACGCAAGGGACCTGCTGTTTTCGAGACTGTCAGCATGATTGCTCGGGCATCTCGCGCGTGACTCAGGGAAAGCAAGCAGGGAGTGTTAGTATTTACAGCAGCGCGCCACTCGTGTGAGAGAGTCAACACGTAGCGCACGCTGTCTGCTACGGCACTGTAGGAGAACGGGAGGCGTCACCGCTACTACTGAGGTCGTGGGAAGACAAGTGTTGCCCCACACACATATTGCCGAAATTACCGCAATTTTGCCACCGTTTTTTGGTTACCGCCGTTTGTCGGCGGTTTCGGTAATCCGCCGTTTTGCCACGTTTTACCGCCTCCGCCGAAGTAGATACAACCACCAAAGAGCGCATTACCTCCTACCGCCAAAACAGTTACCGCCGAATAGCATCACCACCGAAAACGTGGCCGCCTAAAAACCGTTACCGAGGAAACCCTTGTGCGCGCGTGCCGGGAATGATCCGCAGATACCAGGTCTTTAAATATGTGCGTTATCTACAGAGCACTGGTGACCCCACAGATAGTACACTGCGTGAAAATTGAAAATTACGTCGCCTGCGCGGCACGATCTACGCGATCATTCGTGGCATCTTATTGGCGGAGGTCTTAAAATCGACGTGCTTGCAACGCCGACGGCGAGCTCTCATCTGCTGGATCCCCCGAACCGGGTTTTGCTGCAAAGCCAACTCATCACCGGTGTTAGATGGTAGCTGGTCTTCTCGTCTGTAGAGCTCATTGTTCTGCTGGACCACGCTAGGCGTGGAGCAGGTTGTGGTGTGTACGCCTCCCGTGCCCCATGCGTCCACATCTCCCCGCCCACTCAACATTGTATCGAACGGTTGTCCCGAAAACGAACCCGAACCACACTGCTGTAACTCCAGAAGAACCAAAAAAAGACCAAATTAATGAAAAAGAAACGGGGGGGGAAACAAGTCCACACCTGGACTCGAATCCCTGACTTGCACTTCGATTGTATTACAGGCGAGACAAGGCGGTGATGTAACTGTATGGCGGTAACTTTTCGGCGGTATTGCCATATTGCGGTAACTGTTGTGGCGGTAGGCGGTAATGCGTTTTTTGGCGGTAACGCCATACGGCGGTATTGTGTTGGCGGTTGGCCATGTTTTCTTGTTTCGGCGGTATCGACTTTGGCGGTGGCGGTGAAACCAAAAAACGGTGGTAAAACGGCGGTATACCGGTACCGCACACCGCCTGACGGCGGTAAAAACCCCTTGGTACATTTGGATCACAGGTCAACGCCTCAACTTGCGGGACCCGCTGTGTAACCTATCGTGATGTGTCGCGCCCCTCTCGACCAACAACCCCGCGCTCTCTCGCAAACCGTTACCGTGTCTGAGGCACGTAACCGTAACGGTGCACATGACGTAGACTTTCGAGAACAATTATGTGCCTGCACCATTGATGACCCCGAGAAGTAAGAATGCTCATGGGATGTGGTGGGAGCTACAAAGGTCTCACGGCGCCCATGTACGTGGCCGACCCAACGCAGGCGCCGAAGGCACCGCAAAGGCCGCCGGCAACGACGACACAGCAACCAGCAGCCAGGTAGCGGACGACGGCAACCTCGGCGACGGCAGTGGTGTGGGCAACACCCTGTGGGAGCAGATGACCGCCCGCGAAGGGAAAGACGCCGCTCGCCTTGCGGGCATGAGAGCGGGAGACTGGCAGGCGGAGAGGCAGCTGCAAGAGGCCCTCCGAGAGAGCCGACAGGTGTGAGCAATTTTTAACCGCGTGTTCTACTCGCAGTCCATTCTTTTGTTGTTTTGTTCTACTCAGCAAGCTTAGCTCGATGGAATTGGGTACGGCAGCGAGGAGATTATTTTTGATCGGTTTTGTTGGGTGCGCGAAGTTGTCGGTGTGTGCTTCCGGAACGGCGTGTGCTTCGGCCCCCCTCAAGGGGTGTGTCGTGATATACCCCCGTTTCGTCTTCGTTTTTCATGTCCCACGGTTAACGTGCTGTGGGCGAGGTCCTGCCTTCTTTTCAGTTCGATGTCATGGCACAGTTTGGAGGCTGCACGATGAACATCTCCCTCCCTCCCCGTGTTCCCCGGTCCCCGTCTGCTCTCTTATGCTTAGGACGGTGGCCCTGTCGGTGTCGCGTCCAGCCTAGAAGGTAGCGGTAGGGAGGATGACGAGGCAAGCTTCGTTGACACCGGCTTCCACGCCCTCGCGACGAACGCGGTGGAGGGAGAGGAGGGAGAGGGCGAAGCCGCTGCTGCCGCGGATAACGAGGCGGCGTCCTCGCTTGGACAGCAGCCTATCGGCGGATCGAGCGCTGCCGCCGCGGGTGCGACAGCCGGAGACGGCTCTACCACTGCCCAGGAAGAGGAGGACCGTGAGGTAGAAGAGGAGGAAGACTACGGCGACGTCGAGCTCGTAGTCACTCAGGACGGGGGGATCATACCGGTTGCAACGGGGGCCGTCGGTGATGGGTCTGCCGCCACCGATCGTGCGCAGGAAACGCCGGCGGAGGAGGAGGAGGAGGAACACGACCATAAGCTGGCGAAGAAGGCGTACGAGGGCGGGGTAAGGGTGGGGGTCGCAAAGGAGGACGTCGGCGCCGCCGCCGCCGACAACGAACACTTGCCGAAGATCGCAACGGCGATGGATGAGGAACAGGGGGAAGAGGTGACGCCGCTCCCGCCAGACATCGTCCTGACGATGCCGGACGACATCCTGCACCGCACGATGCTCTTCCTGAACCCGGAAGACATCTTCGAGTGCCGGGCCGTGAGCTCTCGGTGGAGCTTCCCGGGACACGAGAACGTGTACGAGGGGCTGTGCCGAAGGACTTACCTGGCGCAGGTACCTGCATGTGTTTACCGCGTGTTTTTTTGTCTTCTTTTTGTTGACCTTGTCAGCTCTTGAGCAGCGATCCCGGTTTTAGAGACACATGTTCTTTTGGTTGGGATTTTATGTCGCTGCCAACAGAACGAGTGGGTCATTTTTTAGAGGTAAGAAAGTGCTTGGAACGCGACTAGAGTGACAGTTTCCCCTCCGTAGTGGTTGAGGAGGAGACCTCGAATCCTCCTAGCGGGTGGATCGAGACTTCGAGTCCCAGCGAACGCTAGTCGCCCCCCCCCGTGTTTGGTGTTGGAACATTCGCCTAGAATTCGTACATGTATTGATAGAAGTTGGTCAATAGCGGAAGCATTCGCCCTATTCTTGTCGCTTTGATTGTTAAGGCCCGCATCGCAAAGAGATTTTAAGTCTGTTCGAAATCACGCATCGCAGCTATTCATACCAAGGGTGCGACGTACAAACTGCGAGGGATGACGGGAAATTAGATGATTCGAAGAAACACCAGGAGAGGTTGCAGTCGGGTGAGAACAGTAGCCTTTTGCGATGACAGCGGGTGACAAGCACGTGGATGTCGTTTTAGCGGCCAGAATAAGGAAAGGTAGCCCACTTTTCGTCTGATACTCGCAGACGGTCTAGCAAAAGACGGAAATAGCATCGTGGGAGCTTCTCCCTTACACCATCTAAGACTTGATGTGTCGTCCTCCCCTTTCTGCCCTTCCATTACCCCCCCGCACACGAAAGCACGTACGTAGCTTGTCTTCTTTCATCCGACCCTTTCCTTTTGAATGCCCGCGTCTTGTTGTTGGCATCCGTCCGTTGTGTCCGCTGCCGGACGAGACTCAAATCTAGCCTCCTCCCCCGCCTGTTTTGCCGACGCGACTCGTGCCGTCCGCTCGCAGTCCGCCAAGAAGATGCTGAACGTCAAGCGCTGGCGCTCGTGGCAGCGCATGTTCAAGTTCCGCCCGCGCCTCCGCGACACCGGCCTGTACAGGTAGGTCGGGATCCGTTTGCCCGTGTTCCTGTCTTGCCACGGCCTAGGTGATTTTCCGCTGGTTCCCTAGAGAGAGAGAACGCAAGTGCCATGAAAGAGCGAGCTGCTGGGGAAAATGGGAAACCCTCGTTGGTGGTTCAGCTGTGGGGAGAGGATCCATTTGCTGTAGATTTTGATGCTCAGCCTCGAGAGGAATGCGCGGAAAGACTGAGGAAGACGCACGTTCATTTTGCCACCCGGCTTTTTGGAGAAGGGTCAACGACAACGAGGGGTGGGGGGGGAGGGGCGACTTGTTTCAAAATTGACATTTGATTGGGTTGTGCTTGTACTTGCTTAGTCCTGGAGGCTTCTTCATTCCAGCCGCAATGCCGTACAAGCATGCACGGCAAGCAGACCGTGTAGCTGCTGCTGCCATAGCGTTTCAAAGAAAAGGAGGGGCAGTACGGGACAACGGCCGAACTTCGTCAGTGATGCTGCAACATCTGTATAAACCCCGCCTCAGGAACACTCTCAAGCCAAACACGGGGGTATGCTGCTGTGCCGCTGCTGACCCTTACCCCGCCCCCTTCTATTGCACCTCTCTGGCTGTTGCACTTGGGCAGCCTCAAGACGACGTACTTCAAGAAGCCTGTAAGGGACATGAGTACCGAATGGACCCCTGGAAAGATTCTCAGGGTGAGTGGGTGGGCTGTTCAAGTGAGCTAATCTAACCTGTTCGTTTGATCGATCGAAGATTGCTTGCAAGAACGCCAATAGGGAATGAACCCAGGACAGGAGGATTTTTTGTTTCCGTGCGCTTTGCTTTTTTTATTGACCTTGGTGTCCTGAGGTTTTGTTGTTGTGCTGGTGGACCACAGGAAGGTGGTGCTTGTCATGCGCTCAAAGCTCCCGCCGAGCTGCACAGTTCTTGTCGTTGCTGGACTTCCTTTTGAAAAGACACCCATGCAATGGCTTCGTCGCTACACAGCACTTTGTAAGACGGTCTGACCCTGCCCCCCCCCCCCGCTACCCACACTCTCGACTCGCTTTTGCCTGTGTCTTCTCCCCCCGAGCACAGGTGACCTACTACCGATACTTTAAATTCTTCGGAGACGGGCGGGTGGCGTATGCGTTGACCCACGAGCCTCCCAAAGATTTCGTCCGCATGCTGCAGGTGTGGGCAGGCAGTGGAAAAGTATTGTGTGTATGTGGGGGGGGGGGGGCTTCGTTTGCATTGTTTTTTAGTGACTACAAGGATACTTTGTTGTTCTCTCACGTGTTGCATTGATGCCTGTATTATCAAGATTCCGAACAACGTTGTTGCTTGTGCACAGAGGAGGCTGCAAGGATGCTTTGTTGTCCGTTCGCGTGTTTCATTGATGCCTGTGATTAAGGACTCCCAGCAACGACGTTCGTTGTGCACACGGTGGAGATCTTTCTGGTTTCGTGGAAAAGGATGCGCTTGCATTCCCGCCGCCCGGCCAGTGAGGGCCCACACACACCGAACATACCTTCGGGGAAACCACCAGAAAGGAGAATTTCTGTGGCATCCCAACTCTTTTTTCTCTCTCTCTCTCTCGGCCGAACCGACGGTTCTGTTCCTGTTCACGCTGCGATTTTCTCGGCGAAACGAACGCACACGAGCAGGAAGGGTCTCCGAAGGTGGTGTTCGGCACCTACACCATAAGCAAGTGGGAAGTCAACGTGGAGATCCCCAACCCCTGGTCCTGGGTGAGCTTCACGCTGCAGCTGGCCAACGGGGAGAGGGGACGGTTCACCCACCTGGTGATGCTCCGCCACAGCTCCGTCTCGCGGAACGACGCCCGGGCCGGCCGCTGCCACCACTCGGTGAAGAGCACCGACTTCTTCACGGTGAGGATGGCCGGTACAGCAGTACGTCATTGGTGTTGCTGTGTCCTTGGCAGGCGTTTTTGGTTTGCAGCGTTACGACGATCGTTTGCGCGTGTTTTTTTTTTTTGTGTGTGTTTCGGTTGGGCGTATAGGGTACGTCGCGTCTACCATGTTTCTGCTGCTGCGGAATCTGCTGCTGTGCGTTGTTTTTGTACTCTTTTGCCAATCCCAGCTGCCAATTCAAAACCGAACACTTCAGCGCCGTTCAAAGATGCCCCTTGCATGCACTTCTTGGCGCTGCCTTGGTCGCTGACAACGGCAACCCGGCGTATTCAAGCAAGGAAAGAATCGTGTAGCCTGCGTCCAGAACTGCCCGGTGGTAATGTTGTTAGCTCCCTCCCTCCCTTGCCCTCCTTTTCGCACGCTGGTGGATTGTATCGCCGTCCTTCCGTCGCTCTCTTTTCCTCTTGTGCAGTTTCGACGAGTCTGGCAGTTTTGAACGGGGGCTTGCGGAAATCAAACATCAAGCAGCACCGTGGGTTCGTCACGTTCGCATGGCCAGGGGGCGCGGGGGGGGGTAGCTCCTAGGGTGTGAGCCCTCTCTCCAGCGTCCCCAAGGGAAGAGACGGGGAAGAGACGTCGCTGTTGTCGTTGTGGTGGCGTGCGGTGTGTCGTGCTGCTAATGCGGTACGACTATGTACGTGCTGGGTCAGGGCTGGGGGCACATCGTGTGCTACCGACAACACTAGCGCGCTTTCCCAAGACCACTCTAGCTACGTAGAACCCGCGCGCCCTAAGCACTGCTGGGTGTGTTTGATCGACAAAGGACCCGCCTTGAGAGCAGACTCTGCGCGAGCAATATTGGAATTTGTCGAAGGTAAACATTCTTTCCTTTGTTATTTTCTTCGGAGACTCGGCAAGAAGAACCGCTCGTCGGTGTCGACGTCGGGCCGACGTGTATAGTGTATTTTCTGGGTAGTACAATAGTTGTCGGATTTTGTTGAGAGGCGGGTTAGGGTGTGTCCCGCATCGGCGTCGTGGAACCGTGAACAACGATTCTTGAATCCGGCTTCTCTGGCTCTCTATTTAGTGCCTAGAGAGACTTTGCGCCCCTCTATTTAGAGCCGGTTCCTAGCTGTTGTTGTGTACTTCGAAGCATGTGTTTTTTTCTTGAGGATTGGTGCTGTGAGGAGGAACTGCAATAGGCTTGATCGCTGACGACGTGTCGTGGGTCCGGTTCTGTGGCTCTTCTGTTGGAATCGAGAGACTTGAAGCCCCTCCCAAATGTCGCGGTATGTAGTTGCCGTTTCCCATAGCGACAGGATTTTGTTTTTTGCGTTTTTTTCGAGAGAAGATGAGGAACTGTAGGCTCTATCGTAAGCGACGCGTCTTGGGTCCGGTTTTCTGTCGCTCTTCTGTTGAATGGAGCGACTTTTGAAGCCCCTCCCAATGTCGTGGTAATGTTGCCGTTCCTGGATGCCGTGTTTGTTGTGCAGTTTTGCCGATAGGGTGAGTGCTCTGAGGAAGAGGAACTCCAAATAGGCCTCGTGAAGAGACTGTTGGACGAAAACCGCGTTGCAAAGCAACAGTATTACGGCGGCTTCCAGCAAAGTAACACTCGTATCCTTCCATCGTGTTCATTTTGAGTATCCGGAAGAAAGCAGTTCCAAAACTCTCGGTGAGTTGTGAGCAATTGTCGGCGACGCGTTGTGATAATTTTTTATTGTTACGCTTCGATCGCCGTGGCTCGCAGGCAGGGCGGCCGCGCTGTAGTGTAAATCAAAGATCCGAGTGCTTTCCCGGACGGTTCCGCCATGCGATGTATTGCAAGGGCCTCTGAAAGCGCGTGCGTGCCGTCTTGTCCTACGTGGATGCCGTATGGGGAAACTTGTAGCTTGTAGATAGCAAGTAGGAGTTTGTGTAGTGCGACCATCCCGCAACTACTGCTAGTTTCTGCAACTTTCGTGACAAGTCCACGGACTTAAAAGCAGCACTTTCTAGGTCTGTGGCGTGCGCCATACACAGCGATATCTCCCGAGATCTTTGCTCAATGTCCCCATCTATTGTCACTGGTGGCTCTACTACAATCGGTCACATCTTGACATGAGACAAATTTCAACGAAGTTTCATGGCGTTGATAGGAAAGATTGGAAAGAAGTAGGCATTTCCGTGCTAAATCCAGACGTCCATCACCCAAAATATCGTAAAACTGGATGTGCAACTGCTGTCATGTTCAAATGAAGGGAAACCTGCTGCCACTTTGCGAAATCAGGGAATCGTCCTTGAAAGCAAGAGGCGTACAAACAAAATTTTGCACATCGGAAAAACTCCTTTTCCACAGCAGTGCGCTCGAAATAACGACGACTCAGACGTTCGGGAGGTAACTATAGAATTTGCATTGTGCAACTGCAAACGCTCCTTTGAAACCTCTATCCAAGCCGCGTTGGCCAATGCAGGGCTTCGAATCCGCCACATACTCATCAGTTCTCGCCGTACATCTGACCCCATTTACACCGACCTCTCCGCCCCCCTTTGGGGCCTCCACACAAAATCACACGAAACGACGGTTTCAGTTTTTTTCTCGTCAAGATCCAGAACGCTTCGAAACCAGCAAGCAAACCCGGGCACGCGTATGCGCGCGATATCTTTGGTATCTTTGCCTACCGCGTGAAACAAAGGCAGCCTGTCCCTGCAGAACTGAGGGACCGCGCTACTTATCTCCCTCAAAAGGCCATGCATCGAACTAGGGGCCAGCAACATCATTATGGTGGCTTCTTGTCGGGGGCGACAACTGGCAGAGGGACAGCATCAATAGTGCCATGGATGACGATGCTGTTCCTCGTACACTCACACTTCGCCCTCGCGACCCGCACGGTGTTCTTTGAGACAAACATGAAGGAAGCGTGGACCGCTCTATTGAGTGCAGGCAGTAGCAGTAGCAATAGCACCAGCAGCGGCGGAGGGGGGGCGAGGGAGATCGTGGACACGATGCTAGCGGACTGCCATGGCCGCAAGAGCGAGGGCTGGGGGGCGGAGTGTGACCGCGCGTTGTATCTGGAGTCCGTGCTCAAGAAGATCGATAGCAGCAGCAGTGCGGGTTCAACTTTCGCTACAGGCGCTGGTGCGGCTGCTGAGGACACGCAGCAGCACCAGCAGCAGGTGGCGCTGGATTCGGCTGCCAATGAGATCGCCGTGGTTTCTGAAGCGGAGCTCCCTTTCTCGGCTTTCTTCCATGAGTACGCAGTGCCCCGACGCCCGGTGGCGATACTCTCGGGAGGCGGTGGGGCCGGCGGCAGCGGCAAGCCGGCAGATGCTACGGATGGCGAAGAACAAGGCGACCTCGGCGACCAAGCCATGAATACCGCTCAACAGGACGGGGAGGAGGAGAACGGGCAACAACGCGTCCAGGATCTAATCTTGAGCGGGATAGAATCTTGCTTGGCACACTCGGTGGATCCAGCGTTGGGGACGGCGGATGGACCCCTGCGTGCGTGCCACGACTCGTTGCTGGAGAGCTTGCCAGTCCCACGCTACGCTTCCGAGGACTTCGTGCAGAGGTTTCGGGGACAGGACGTGCTTCCGGTCGGGGAACATGCCGAGGTTGAGCGCTTCGTGTCTGGGTAGGTCTTCCATCTGTGCTGTGCGCTACAGGCGTACCTCATGCTCGCATCGTGGATGAATTTTCTGCAGGTCGACATTTCCGTATTTACTTGGGCCTCTGAGCAGTGCTTTCACGTTGATGCCGCCTACAATCACTAGCACGGGGTACCCACACTGTTGTACCCGCATGTATACTGCGTTATGACCTCCACTTTAAACCAAACGCCTTGCCAACGCCACGATATCTTAAAAGTCCTCTCTAGAGTGTTCCCTTGACCACCCCTTTTGGCATGTATACCTTTGATGTTGTTGGGGGACAGATACAGAACTCTGTGAATATCAGGATCGTGGTATCTATCTGATGCAACATCCTTCGTAAGGTAGGTGATATTGGATCTCCGATGCTGCCAATAGTTGTTGTACAGAAGCACCCATGCTGTACCGCCCACAACGCCAAAAGTTTGGACACATACCACATGCGAGGGAGCAGCTGCTGTGTTCGTGAGGCGATGGAACAAGCACCAAGACAATTTTACAAGCACGGTGTTCCCACAAGGCTTTGCATGTGTACAACAACGTTCTATGCAAAGTGCATCGCGATTAACCGCACTGCCAACGCCAAACCATGCATGTCTAGACCGGCAACCTCAAGTCCATCACCCCCCCCTCTCGCCCTTGTTTCGCAGCTGGCAGCGCCTACACCGTACCCGTCCAGGCGCGTACACCCCACCGACCGCTTGTCCCGCGGGGGCCAACACCCTGATCACCGTCATGTCAGGAACTCTCCAGGTGTTGGTCTACTCGTCGGCCGACGAGTTGCCCAGCCTCAAACCAACGTTTGGCAACGCGCCGTGCTCTCCTGTTCCGTCTCGTACGTCTGCCGGGGACGATGGTGATTCAAAGTCCAGCAAGTCCGAAGGCGATGGACACGAGAACACCGGCGAAGAAGAGCAGTTTGATGTCGACAACGGTACCGGCGAGGAGAGGGAACGGGAAGAGCACCGCAGTGGTTCGGGGCACGCAGAGGAAACTATCACAAGCACCGCGTCGAATCCTACTCGTGAGCCGCTAGAGGAGGGGTTTGGGCTGGAGAGGACAACGGCAGATCAACAGAAGCAGAACTTCTCCATGATGAGCTCGTTGGACGGAGCACGGGTCAAGGACGAGACGGAGGATACGAGCACTAGCGAGAAGAAGGAGGAGCCCCGAACACTTGACGCTTCCGACAGTACGTCGAACGGCCACAGACGATACTCTCATCACCCTTCGGAGAGCCATCACTGGCCCCACGAGCCTAAATACTGCGCCGACGTCTGGCGGGAAGACAGCGAAGACAACAGCATTGTCACAAGGTATGTATGTCGAAGAGTTTCATCTATTCTTGTTTTTTCTTGGCGCAGCAGTAGCGTTGCCACTCGTAGATAGTGAGACTCGGAACGATCGGCGCAAAAGGTCGACCCCAACGGTCCGGGACTGTAAGTTAGCTAGACTCCTTTATCTTGAGCCGTCTGTCCTGCCTTGTATGCCTATCCTTTAGGGTGACGCCCTTCCCTTCTTTGTTTCCCGAACGTGCGCAACTTGCCGCAGGACCAACGCCCAGGACGTGTCCGCCGGCGACAACCTGTTCGTGCCGTCGGGGGGCGCCGTGTCCTGGCGGGCAAAGGCGGGTGGTGGCGCAGAGGACGAAGGAGCTACAGCCGTGCGTTTCTGCTACGTCGACGCCAGCAACTTCAACTCCGTGAAGAGTCAGCTCCCACTGTACGCGGCAGTCGAGGTACGATTGCACGGCATGTGGGCAGCAAAGACCCACCAGAGAACGAAGAAGCACGTTACTGTACGACCACTGATTGTGCCAGGCTCTCCGTCCCAATGAACTGCGCGGGGGAAGCCTAACAATATTTCAATTTAACATCAGGCGATAGTACGAGTTACCATTGTATTGTTTCCTCCACAAACACAGTAGGAAGGAACGATTGGCCATCGGTGATCGGTCCTGTGGGAACAATGCTCCGTCCTCTCGAGGACGCGTGGTCAATGGTCTATAACCGCTAAGGCATGCAAAACATAAGAGTACGCCCCCCTCCTCCACAAACAGGCCGGAGCCAACGGTCTTCTCCAGGCCTTCCGATCCCCTGTGTTCGACACCTCCATGTCTAGGAACCCGTCGACCGTGTCCGCGTCCGAATTTTTCGAGGGTGGTCGAAAAGCCACCAGCGTGAACCCATCAGCATCATCATCGACGGATGCTGATAGCGGCGAAGCCGGCCTTGATGCGGATGGTGACAGTAGTGCGACCGCCGGGGAAAACGCGGGGCGGAAACGAAGGCGACTGAGCTCTACGGAAGAAGGTGCATTCTCGAATTCAATATCTAGAAGTAGGTACCGTTATATCGCTCGTGTGCCCGGCCTCATCCCTCGTGTTTGTCGACACCTGAAAAGGACAAAGTATTATTATCCCTTGGTTGTTCTTATCGGCTTCTGTTTCGAAGACCTCTCTCTGGCTTAACGCTGTGTCATAGAGTGTTGTTGACTTTGGAACAGGACGAGGTTATACCCAGGCCCCTCCGAGTTTCGTGTACGTGCTGTGTTTGTATCGAGAGTGTAAATAGCTGTCACCCTCCGGACAAAGAGGAAGCAAAGAGGAAGCAAAGAGGAAGATCGGCCCTACACACAAGGAGCCAGCAAAAAATCATCGTGGGGTGATCAGTGTCGGTCGAGATGTAGCAATGGAGGGAGAACCGACTCAGCAACCGTCGCATCCAATGGCCACCCGTTGGACGACGCTCGTCGCAACTGATACTTACATTTCGAACCCGAGCGAGAGTACCCTGGGTGATAAGTTGTTCAGCTCTTTCTCTCTTTCTCTCTCCGCAGGTGCGACTGCGTCGGAGTCCTCGTCCGGGAGTGGTACCGGCAGCAGCAGCAGCAGCAGCAGCAGCAGTAGCGCGTCTTCCTCGTGGACATCGGAGTCGGGGAGGAAGGCCGGCAGGCGAGGCCGAAAGTCTTTCAAGGAGTGGCAGGACGACAGCCGCTGGGACCTCAAGGTGGATTGGCGTTCTCGTTGGCTATTCGTTGTTGTTGTTGTTGTTGTTGTCGTCGTCATGGACGTCGTCGTTGTTGTTGCAGTCGCCATTTTTTGCTCTTTCCAAGGATATTCATGTTTGCATGTATGTACGCCTCATGGCCTTGGCCTTCTTTTCGTGCCTGCTACAGCACAGTTAGCCTGCCTGCACGTAGGTGATGATTGCCCTGCGGAATACGCGACGAGCAGTCGATATCGATCTACCCACCTCGCGTCGATAGTACTCGTCACACGTACCTACAAGGTGTCGATCCTGGCCTACGTACCTAGAGGGTTCCCCTTACCTTTGGCGTCCGCGTCTTTTCCACGTTGATGTCAACGCAATCTTCGCCGTACGCAAGATCCTCGGTCTCACGTTGCCCACCCTCGACAAACCGAGAGTGACGGCTTGCGAGCGCACGGCATGCACCGTGGAGTGGACGAACAGCTTCGTCAAGCAAGGCCAAGACCAGACGAGGCTCGGGTTTAACTTGTCCTTCGTCCCGGCGGCGACGACCAACGCCTCGAGCCAAGCTGCCGGCCACGGCAGCGGGGGCGGCGGGTACATGGAGGCGAGTGGACGAGGGGTGTTTGCCCCGAGGGAAGACTAAAAATACTGCTGTTATTGGCATCAACACGCCCTTGTCGGTATCCGTTTAGCACGAGGGCGGTTCAATTGAGGACCCGAAATCACAGAAATAAGAAGCGTACGTTTGAAGTGCTTGGCTGGGTGTGTGCGAAGGAAAGAAATTCAGAACAAGGCCGAGGTAAAGAATGGTCGGTAACGTGCGGAGATAGAAAGTGATCACGTCATAGTTTGCGTTGATATCGGTTTTCAAAGAACTTGGGCAGCCCCTTGAGGCGTCCAAGCAATGCTCTGAGTACAAACCACTTCCGTGTATCGTTTGCGCACACTGTCACGTTCGGTTGGCGCCCGTAAAACGACGTATGATTGCCAAGATTGCAGCAGCAACAACAACAGTTGTAGTGATTTACGGACGATGATGCCAATGGCCTATAAAGAAAACATTGGTCATCCGTTGCCTGTGTCTATCAGGTGTTCGTAGGGGACTCGAGGCTGAAGTCCGAACATGCGCGGGACAGGGACTTGCTGAACCTGGGCATCACGGAAGGAAAGCGGTACACAATTGTGGTGGACACCAATCTAGCACCGGACACCCTGTACAGGTAGGTGCGATCCGTGCGTGCAGGAAGAAATAGGGCAACCGGCTGCTGCTTCGGCCATTAAAAATGTATCGCGTAGAAAGCGACGAAGATTCGAACATAAATATACTCTACTCAGTCAGGTTGCCAATCAATGTTGTTCCGTAATAAAAGGAAAGAGTCGATGCACTGACTTACTGACTGGTGATTTTACGCCGAAAGAAAATGGATCATCAGCATCAGGTCGATCGTCGTTTGTTCTCTACAATTCATAGCACTACTGTACAGTAAGATTTGAAACACTCCGGGGGAAGAACGGCGGGCGGTATGTACACTAGTTTCTTCTGCGAAACCCTACAAAAGTACATCCATCTCCCCGCGAGATAGTCAAAAGTCTAGACTACATGTAAGTGGGGGGGCGACCTTCCTCGGGGAAAAAAGACATAGCGTCTCCCTGGGATTGGAAAAAGAAACTCACATAACACAGACAACAGTATGTACTGTATAAGACTAGACCACCAGCAGCTACAACGCGTACACAGCCACATGACGTGACGAGGAAAATCTCGTCGCCCACTGTCACCCGAAACAACAGACACAATGACATACAGTATAGTCCACGGCACGCGTGCGTGCTTGGTAGTTGATTGATTGAACTCGAGAGTTTTTTCATGTTTCAAAAGTATAATAGAAAAGTATATTTAGACTCTACTGAAGAAGTACCGAACGAAGACCTTGGAGGCTCTCAAAACGCGTTGACCTTCGAGTTGGTTCTCAAACGCGTTGTTGGATGGAAGGACTCGACCTCACGGTAGTCTAAAAACCCTACATCATCGTTGGTGTCCTCAAAAAGAGGACAAAAGGCCACGGGAGTACAACAGTAGCCCCAAAACAAGACGGTGGTGGCGCGTTCTGCAACAAGTTGTGTAACAACAGTTTTCACCTACCGCAAGGACGTGCCGTACTCACGTCGTGTTGTGTGCGCTTGCGCTCGCTCCGGCGGGGGACGAGTTTTGCGGCAAAAGAAAGATCACAATCCACCGGCCTGCTGTACGTATTGGTACAGAGAAGTAGTCGAGGAAGTAGGTGTCGACGTTTCTTCAGCAGCCCTTTTCAGCCTTACTGGGGGCTGGGGGATACTTCAGAGGATCTTGCTGCACCATACATCACTCCTATGGCATTGTTTCCGGATAAGAACGAGGATCCAACCAAAGACAGCGTACTGTATACAGTAGTGTACTGATGCTGTAGTCAGGGAGGGGCTCCGACGCCGGCAAAAAGGTTTCTCAAGAAGGAAGTCGAAATACACCTAGCGCCCGTAGTGCTGCTGTGCACACCTCTGTGTTGTGGAATCGTTCCCAAGAGAACTCTCGTAGTTTGCCCTCACGAGGTTGTAAGACCAATCTCACGATAGAGCGAGCATGGGTGCTGGATGGATTCTGGCCGAGCGCCTACAACAGCAGTACATGATAATAGCAAGGGCAAATCTCTTCATTTACCTAATTATATCACGTGAATTTTGTTGACTTATGTATCATCCTCTGTAGTCCAATGGTTAGGATATATCGCTTTCACCGATGAGACCCGGGTTCAATTCCCGGCAGGGGAGTACATTTTCCTTTTATCCTATTTTTTTTCCTGTTTTTTTTCCTTCTTTTTTTGTATCATGTTTTCCACCTCTTGTTCCCTTCTTCTCCCTTCTGCCATTGCTTCCTCTTGTTTACATGCATACGTGTGCCCGGCATGTTGCCTTTTCCTGTGTTCACCTCCACCACCGCCCTTCCCCCATTTCCTCCCTGTCTCTCGTTCTCCCTCTTAAAATGTTTCGTTTTCTCTGCCGCCGTGTGCGCGTGCGCATGATGATTGATTGACACGACTACATGTCGCGAACAAAGGACAAAACGAGACTCCATTAACAAAAGAAAGAGTGGTTCCTCGAAAAAACTGTGCGTAGAGGGTTAAGCTATTGTTTGGCACATCCCCCCCCCCCCCCCCCGCGCGCTGTCCATGTGGCAAAACCGAAGAAAATAAAACCCACATAATTGGGGAATGTGAATTTTACAAGAAAGAAAAAAAAGAACTCCAAGAAGAAATGAAAAAAAAAAGGTGTGACATGGACAAATTTGGTAAATTATACAAAACCCAAAAAA